GGGATGGGGGAGCTGGCAGGGGTGCAAGCAGGGGTGCAGGTAGGGCTGGGGGAACTGGTAGGGGTGCAGGCAGGAATGTAGGAGCTGGCAGGGATGCAGGCAGGGGTGCAGGCAGGGGTGCAGGCAGGGGTGCAGGCAGGGCTGGGGGAGCTGGCAGGGGTGCAGGCAGCCAAAGCCACCAGCTGGGGAAGGGAAGGGATAAGGGAAGAGCACCCCACGCACACGTGTGGAAGGGTGTCCGGTCCGGCAGCCCAAAGCCACCAGCCGGGGAAGGGAAAGGAAGGGACAGGACACGGGAAGAGCACCCCACGTACACGTGTGGAAGGGTGTCCGGTCCGGCAGCGAGCGGGTTTTTCTCCGGATGGGGAGAGATTTCTCCATCTCCTCCTTCAGGATGAGCTTTCCGAGGTTGGAGGTGACCTGGGGGCGGAGAGACATGGGTGAGGGTCTGTGTCATCACGTCCCCAGCCCCTCGCAAGGCTCCTCACTCAGCCCCTCACCTTGCTCAGCTCCTGCCTCTGGAGCTCCCGCAGGTTCTTCATCTCCTCCGTCAGGTCCTCCTCCTCCTCCTCCCCTCTCTTGGAGGCCATCCGCTTCCTCCACTCCGTCTCTGGGGGGAAAGAAGGGAGGTTATATCCATCTCCATCACCCCTATGAGGTTTTTTTGGGGCAGGGGAGTCACCTGCCCCTGTTCCCCACCTACCCACGATGGCCAGGGATGGGGGGCAGGGCCAATAGTCGGTCTCAATCTTGGCAGGTTGGTTGGGGTCTGGGGGCTGCGCCGCCGGGAACTTGGAGGATTCGATGATCAGGTCCTCTATGAGATGCTTCCCGTGGTGGGCGCCCAAATGGTGCTCTGTGGGGCACAGTGGGGGGGTTGTGGGGTGAGGCCAGCACCCTGGGGTGCCCCATCCAGTGGGACAGACCCCCCCAACTTCCCATCTCCTCACCTTTCTGCCTGTAAATCGGAGGTTTCTTGTATATGTTGAGCTCCGTCGTGTCGGTCTCTGCGAGGAACCCCCCCCCTTAACAATTCATCACCCCCCCCTTCCCTCCTCAGACCCCCCTTGCTTTCATCCCGAAGCACTCACCTCCGGAGATGGAGGAGGAGAGATGGATTTGGGAGAGAGGGAGCGCTGCAAGAAGGGAAAAAAAGTGATTTATTCCACCAGCCCCACATCTATCCTCTGAGACCCCACTGCCCCGGGGCAGGGGGGGGAGTTTGCCCCCTACTAGCCCCCCCAGAAGAAGCAGGGGGTCCCGGGGGCACCCTCACCTCTCGGCTGCGGGGCAGCTCCACGTGCTCCATGAGGGAGTAGGTGAAATGGGGTTCGTAGATCATCAGATCCGGGCGCTCGATGTCCAGGATCGCTTTGTCCTTGGGGATGGCGGCCAGGTCCTTGTAGCCCAGGACCTCGTTGTCCATTTTGGCCTGGGGAAGAAGAAAGGAATCACAGAATCACAGAATCTTCTAGGTTGGAAGGGACCTCAAAGATCCTCTTGTCCAACCGTCAACCCAACTGACAAAAATAGACACTCACACAACAAACATGGAGTACCAGGGATGGGGACTCAACCCCCTCCCTGGGCAGCCCATTCCAATGCCTGAGACCCCTTTCAGGGAAAAAATTTTTCCTAATATCCAGCCTGAACCTCCCCTGGTGTAACTTGAGGCCATTTCCTCTTGTCCTGTCGCCTGTGACTTGAGAAAAGAGACCGACCCCCACCTCTCTACACCCTCCTTTCAGGGAGTTGGAGAGAGCAATAAGGTCTCCCCTCAGCCTCCTCTTCTCCAGGCTGAATAACCCCAGCTCCCTCAGCCTCTCCTCATCAGACTTATTCTCCAGACCCCTCACCAGCTTTGTCACCCTTCTCTGGACCCGCTCCAGCACCTCAATGTCTTAGGAAGGAAGGAAGGAAAGAAAAAGCACCTTCATTTTGGGGTGCAGAAGAGGAATTGGGGAACAGGGAGGGCTTTCCCGGGGCTGGCATCCTCCGTGGCCCCTTCCGGGGTGATGGAAGAGGGTTTGTGGAGGTGACCCCCCACAAAAGGAGGGAGGTGACAGTGTGGGGGGAACACTTCTTACCACGATGCTGGAGGGCGAGCCAGGGACGCTGGACCCACGGGAGGAACAGACGCTCCCAGGGGAGGTCAGTGGTTGCTGGAAGGAGAAAAAAAAGGGGGAGATTTTTAGCAAACCCCATCCTTGGAGACCCAGGAAGGAGCTCGAGTTTTTGGGCACTGCCAGGGTGGGCAGGGAGCACCCCGAGGCTGGTCCAGGGGCAAGATGCAGTGGGGCTGTGGGGTGATGGTCAGGACCCCAGGGTATGGTGGGGGGGGGCTGGGGACACCCCTGTGCCCCATGGACCTCAGTGCATGGGGGTAAAACATCGTTGGGAGGGGGTATTTCTTGGGGGGTGCTGGGGTGCCCCAGCGTTGTGGTTCAGGGCAGGGGACAGCCAGGAGGTGACAGTGGCTTGGCCAGGACACGTTGCCACTAGATGGTGCTGCCAGGCTGGGCTGGGAGGAGGAGGAGGAGGAGGAAGGCAGGGCCCTGCTAGCAGCATCCCAGGGTGACTCTGCCCATGTCCTTGGCCACCAGCCCCTGCCCTTGGCCACCAGCCCCTGCGTGCCTTCCCTAGGTACAGGGCTCCCCGCTGCCTGAAGACCCCCAGGACCCTGCAAACTGCCCCCACCACCCTGCTTGGTACCCCCCAGCATCCTCCCCACGGCCCCCAGTACCCTGCCAGCCCCCCAGTGCCCTCCCCAGAGCCCCCCAGCACCCTCCCCACAGCCCCCTTACCTTCTGCAGTCTTTCCATTCAGCTACGGGCTGGAGGGGCTGCGTCAGTCACAGGGTCCTGCGTGGGGAGAACAAGGGGGTTTTGGGGCGCTGCCAGGGTGGGCAGGGAGCACCCCGAAGCTGGTCCAGGGGCAAGATGCAGTGGGGCTGGCCAAAGCCCACCTCCCCACCACCCTTCTGCTATGGGGCAGAGCCTGGCAGCCCCACACAGAATCAATCACAGAATCTTCCAGGCCTGGACACACACACTGCTGGCCCATGTTCAGCCAACTGTTGACCAACACCCCCAGGTCCTTTTCCCCCCCCCACACCAGACCCCAACGTGGCACGAGGCTGGCATGACCCCACCAACAAATATCCACGTGCTGGCAGTAGGATGGGCTTACCAGGGGGGTGCCACCATCCCTGGGGGGGTGACCAAACAGCCCCTGGTGGCTCTGGGATGTGCCAGACCCCCCCCACACCCACCCCCAAACTCACCTCTGTGGCTCCACATCCCTCTGGGCTGGGGTTGGGGTGCTGCCTCTGTGTTGGAGAAGAGAGAGGTGCCAGTGGTTTGGGGGATGACAAGGGAGGATGAGGAGGCTCAACCTTCTCCTCCCTCCACCTCTGGTGTCCCCCCCCTCAAGCGGTGCCCGCCAGCTCCCTGCCCTGCTGCGTGCCCCCCCCCTGCTCTAGCCCAGTGGCTGCTGACGAGGGCTGGCAAACGAAGCAGAGGTAATTAAACCCTTTGTCCACCGGCCCCCAGCGGCCTCGAGAAGGCTCCAGCCGCAGCGGGATGGGGCGTGCTGTGCTCAGCCCCCTGCCCCATAGCTCCCCACCCCACACCAAGCGTGTGTCCCCCCCCCGACACACACACATCCCATGCTTTCAACCCACAATGCCCCTCACAAAGGGGAAAATTCCCCATTCTCCTCCCAAATTTCTCCTTTCAGAGGGGGAAAAAACCCTCGTGCCATCCAGGCAGCAACAGCAACGACAGCGTGGAGCCCCCCAGACTTGAGGACATCGTGTTGTGTGTCCCCCCCCCATATTCCTAGAAGGTTATACATGGGTCTAGGGGGATGCCAGCGCCTCTGGGGACCCCCAACCCCGCTGTCCCCCCAGCCCCACGGCTCCAGGGATGGGGGCAGAGCCGTGGGGCTGGGGGGGACATCTCTGGAGATGGAGAAGGACCAGATGTGACAAAGCCCAGAGCATCCTCCAGCTGCTGGCACCGCCCTCGGCTCCCTCCTCCCAGGGTCGAGCATCTCCCAGCCTCATCCCTCCTTTGGGACCACCTAGAGACAAATCAACCCCCCCCTCGGGTGGGACTTACACCCCAGAACCCCCCCGGGATTGTCACCGAGCAGTGGGACAAGGCAGCATTGTCCGGGAGGGCAGCGTCCTCCTCACACACCCATGAGCTCACACTTTCCAGAGGCAGAGCCAGGGCAAACCAACCCCCCCCCGACACACACAACCCCCCCTTTTCCTCCTCAACTCCCCCCGCTGCCTC